ACTCTCAGAAACAAGACTACAAGATGGCTCTTAGAAAGTACCGCAAGGCTTTGCGCTATCTGGATATTTGCTGGGAGAAAGATGGCATTGATGAAGGTGGTTCATCATCACTTTTCTCTCTGTATATGTTTTCATTTACTGCATCTCAGGGAATATTGATACGCATACCAATGTCTGTCACTCACTCTTTCTCTCTACTTGTGATCTTGCAGAGACAAGTACTGCCTTGCGTAAGACAAAGTCGCAGATCTTTACTAATAGCGCTGTAAGTTCATGCTTTAACCTCTGTGAATGCATATATGGGTATATGTGTGTGCATAAGTATCATCCGAAGCTTGATACAGTCTTTGGAATCTATTTGGGTTTCCAAAAACTGAAACAACCTTTTTAGTTTCTCGCCACTGTCGGGTTTTCCACATTGATATTTGCTGCTTATGGATGAGTTCCACTTTTCATAGAATGATAGGCGATTGAAACTTATAATGTTGATGGCACCGTAAACCTGCCATTATATTTTGTTTCTGCTGCTTGATTCTTATCTTGGGAAGAATTAGTAGGGTAGGTTGTCCTTGACATATGCAGGTTTCCAAGATATCATTTTCTGAGATTATGCTTGTGGGTCATACATAAAAATGATTGCATATCCATTTGTGTTGCCAGTGTTTTCACTATCTCAACTCAATTGTTTTGGCTTCCCTGTATAGCTGATTTTTGTACTGATGTCATCTCTTTGTATTGTATCTGGCTGTTGTGACAGGCCTGCAAACTCAAATTCGGAGATGCAAAGGGTGCGTTGTTGGACACTGAATTTGCTATGCGTGACGAGGATAACAATGTTAAAGCATTGTTTCGACAAGGCCAGGTACTTAAAGAAAACTATTGCTCGACAGTATTCTAGAATGTAGGCCTAGGTATAACAACAGATATTATGGACTTCTCTTGAGATTAATATTGTTTCTGTTTCGTAATTGTGCTTGTTGGTAATGTTAGGCATACATGGCTCTCAATAATGTCGATGCTGCTGCTGAAAGCCTTGAGAAAGCTCTTCAATTCGAACCTAATGACGGTTAGCGATTCACCAAACATCTAGTGTTTCATGATTTTACTTGTTTAGTTCATCATTATGGGTGTACTGAGTATTTTACCTGCCTAAATCATTGGGAGAGAAATCTAACTAGCTTGTTTCTATGTGCGTGCATGATACCTGGTGTTGACTTCCAGCTGGTCTCAAGAAAGAATATGCTGCTGTAATGAAAAAGGTCGGTATGCGTATAAACAAAATCTGATGAATTTGTTTTTCACATGACTTAATTTCTAGCATAAAAGTCCTTGTGTCGACGTTAATATCATAAGTTCCATATGTGCAGATTGCCATTAGAGACAATGAAGAGAAAAGGCAATACCGCAAAATGTTCGTATAGGATGCTTTGCTCTATTTAGGGTAAGCCTAAATAAGTCAATTTAACTGTCGCATTTCTTTTCAAGCAACCACAAAAAAAGTTCTGTTGGAGGATTAAATTATTGATGTTGGAGAATCCCATCGTCTGTACCATGTTGTTAGTTTTATTTCGACTAATTTGCTGAAGAGTCGTTTGTAACTTAGCGTTTTCTGCTGATGTCTTTGCAGGTTTGGTTGGATAGTGGAGAAGGGACTAACAAAAGTGAAAAGAGAATATAAAAGAAAGAAATATTCTAAAAAGACTTGGGAACTATTTTCTATTTCCCTCATTTTGGTAAACAATGTTTACTTCTGCATTCCAGCAAAGACTGATGCATAATAGTTTTTTGACCCAAAAGATGGATTCAATGAGACAGTTAATGCAATTTTGAGTTACTGGGTCACTCTTGTTCTTGCTTTCTTCGCCAATTTTCCTTTTCTCTTTCGATATTGCAGAATTCTTGTTGCAGGCTTTTGGTAAGAGAAAAGAACTTGTTAACTAAGGTTCTTGAAGACCTTCTGAAAACAGGCACTTTTCTATATAGGGCGTGTTGGTTTGCTTGACACCGGCGTCAGCGTCTGTGGCGTGCGGCTAAGTCGTGTTCGTTTGCCTGCTGCCGACACCTGCGGTCAAACGCTGCGACCAGCTGCGGCGGCTAGCGTTTCAAATTTCTGAACGCTGTGTTTTTCAGCGTTTATTCGATTAATACTACGGCTAAACCTGTTAAAAGACAAAAATACCCTTAAAATGATTTGTTAATTACAAAAATAATGTCATTTACCCTAAAACGCAATCTCAACTCTCGATCTCTTAATCGCTCTCCTTTTCTCTTGGCCGAAACGCAACTTCTTCACAGTCCATCTTCTTCAAGAGTCAAGCTTTTTGTAAGTTCCTTTCTCTTGCTTAATGATTTGTTTTTTGATTTGTTGGGCAATCGATAGATAAGAAGGTCCTCAGTGTCTCGATCGTGCTGGTAAGGTGAGAGGACAGGACATGACAAGAAGAAGAGAAGTCACGGCTCTGGTAAGGTCTGATATTTCTTAAATCTTTTTAAAGTTTTTAATTTTTCGTATTATGATTCCCGTCCATATAAAGTTTATACCCTTCACGGATGTCTCGATATTAAGGTCTGGTTCATAGCTTCAATGGTTCATATAAATTTATATAAAAAATTAGACATTGGGTTATGGAACTTGGAAGATTGAAATTCTGGGTTTTTAGTATTATCTTAGTGACGACGCTTTGGTCTAAAGCAATCTCCTTTACTTGATTTTGATTGTCTTTTTTTCTTCACTCTTCCAATTTTTTATTTTCTTGAAATGCAACAATTTTGCAGAGCAAACAACAACAATTTACTGAACAGTCTAAGTAAACCTTATTCTCTGTTTATCTTATTTTGGTGTTTTTAGGATTGCTCCTCAAGAATTTGAGCATGGATCAGGGATAAAGAAGCAACATGTCTAATGATGTAAGTAATTTGTGGGTTATTTTTTAGCTGATCTTGTGATTAATTTTATGATTTGTTCTTTAGAATTGGACCGATGAGGAATGTCGGTATTTTTTTCATCTATGGAACGA